ATGAATGAGTGACAAATGAGCATATGGGCTACGTAATGTGAGGAATCTGTCTAGTCCAAAATAAACATAGCATATTCAGGGAACCGACAGAAGACCAGTGTGGTGCCTGACATAACAAAAATAGGTAAAGTAGTGCCCTGGAAACAGGAATTAAAAGTTCTAGTATGCGAAAGCATATCTTAGCTCTTTCAAAGACACACTCTAAGCATTATTTTCAATGACGCTTCAAAGCTTCAAAACAGTTTCTCTCAAATGCTTTTTTTTTAAAAAAAAAAAAAAAAAAAAAAAAAAAGGCTGGGCACGGTGGCTCATGCCTGTAATCTCAGCACTTTGGGAGGCTGAGGCAGGCAGATCACGATGTCAGGAGTTCAAGACCAGCCTGGCCAACATGGTGAAATCCCATCTCTACTAAAAATACAAAAATTAGCTGGGTAGGGTGGCATGTTCCTGTAATCGCAGCTACTAGAGAGGCTGAGGCAGAAGTGCTTGAACCAGGATCCAGAGGTTGCAATGAGCCAAAATCACACCACTGTACTTCAGTCTGGGCTACAGAGCAATATTCCGTCTCAAAAAAAAATAACAACAACAACAAAATGCTGTTATTTTCCTCCCTACAAAAGACCAAACTACCTCTCATTGATTCTCTTCACAGTTCACTTTACTGTCTTCAACTACATGATAAAAATCATAACTTTTTAGTTCTACTTAGTTTAGATTCCTTAGAAGAAAGCAGCTATATAAAAACCAAAGTAAATATGGTATTATTGCCCCATCTCTCCCACTAACCTGCTCTGTGACTGATTTTGGTAAAGGTTATTTGGACACTTTGGCCTAACTTTTTATTATCTGTGAAGTAAGAGTGAGAAGACAGAGTGAGACCCTGTCTCAAAAAAAAAAGTTTGTTCTTTTATTTTTTTTGAGACAGGGTCTCACTCTGTCACCCAGGCTAGAACACAGTGGTACAATCACAGCTCATTGCAGCCCCAACCTTCCTGGGCTCAAGTGATCCTCCCACCCCAGCCCCCTGAGTAGCAAGGACTATATTTGCATGCCACTACACCCAGCTAATTTTTGTATTTTTGTAGAGGCAAGGTTTTGCCATGTTGCCCAGGCCAATCTCAAATTCCTAGGCTCAAAGGATCCTCCTGCCTTAACCTCCCAAAGTGCTGAGATTGAGATTACAGGCATTAGCCACCATACCCAGCCTTGTTCCATTCTTCAAAACTGATAAGAAGAGACCCACACACCTCTGAATTTCTTTGACTGAGATTATACTTGCCTTTAAGTTCTTTTTTTTAATGAGACAAGAGTCTCACTCTGTCACCCAGGCTAGAGCGCAGTGGCACAATCATGGTTCACTGCAACATCCGCCTCCTGAGTTCAAGTCATTCTCATGCCTCAGGCACAGGAGTAGCTGGGATTACAGATATGTGCCACCACAACTGGCTAAATTTTTGTATTTTTAGTAAAGACAAGGTTGCATCATGTTGGCCAGGCTGGTCTCGAACTCCTGAGCTCAACTGATCGATCCTCGGCCTCCCAAAGTGCTAGGATTATAAGCATGAGCCACTGCATCCGGGCTAAAGGTCTCTTTATATGTGCATAGCATTTGAACATTGTTGCTATAATAAACTCCTGAATTTATAAAATTACCAATAACTAAGGTTCTAATAAAAAATTAACTAAATTTCAAAATAAGTATTGTTAAAAATCTACATTTCCAATAAGATGCAGTACGTTAAACAGGAATCCCTTGTCAATGCATTTGTAAGCCAGGGAGAGGGGGTTCCCTAGGAAACCCCCCCAAAAATAAAATTTTAAAAATTAAAAAACAACAACAACAACAACAGGGATCCCTAAAAGTAGAAAGTCAAAATAGGAAGGCAGAAGGATTTCAAAAAAATCAAAAGAATTTTTCAGAAAAAATTTTGGCAGAACATTAAAGTTGGTTGATATAAATGTTAATTTTAACTTCCAAAAGAACTCAACAAATGGATAATCATTCTCGATTGGATTGTATGTCCATTTATCGTTAACAGTACTTCTGATAATGTTTTCAAACAGAAAATGTATATAAGTAGTCATAACTTCCCCACCACACCTTAAAAAAATAAAACTGAGACAGGGTCTCACTATGTTGCCCAGGTCTGAACCTCCTGGGCTCAAATGATCCTCCTGCCCCAGCCCTCAAAGTGCTGAAATTACATATGTGAGCCACTGCACCCAGCCACAACTTTCCACTTTTTAACCAGATTATCCACCACTAGAATTCAAGGTTTCAATATTCCTAATTTGAAAACTTGATAAAAATTAAAGATCCACAAATTGTTTAAGTTTTATATTTCATAACTTAGTGTAACTTCTAGAGGCATCCATCAAGCACCCCAATTCATGTATAATCTTTAGTATTAAGATTTGTTTTGTGTTTTTTTTTTTTCTTTTTCAAGACAGAGGTTTGCTCTTGTTGCCCAGGCTGGAGCGCAATGGCACAATCTCAGCTGATCACAACCTCCGCCTCCCAGGTTCAAGCGATTCTCCTGTCTCAGCCTCCTGAGTAGCTGGGATTTATGTGCCACTATACCCACCTAATTTGGTGTTTTTAGTAGAGATGAGGTTTCTCCACATTAGTCAGACTGGTCTCAAACTCCCAATCTCAGGTGATCTGCCCATGAGCCAATGCACCCGGCACAGGATTTTTTTTTTTTTTTTTTTTTTTGAGACAGAGTCGCCAGGCTGGAGTGCAGTGGCGTGATCTCGGCTCACCGCAACCTTCGCCTCTCAGCTTCAAGTGATTATCCTGTCTCAGCCTCCCGAGTAGCTGGGATTACAGGCATGTGCCACCATGCCTGGCTAATTTTGCATTTTCAGTAGAGACAGGGTTTCTCCATGTTGGTCAGGCTGGTCTCGATCTCCTGACCTGGTGATCCGCCCACCTTAGCCTCCCAAAGTGCTGGGATTATAGGCGCAAGTCACCACACCAGGCCAAGACTTATTTTAGTGAAAGGGGTCAGGAGCAGCAGCTCACACCTGTAATCCCAGCACTTTGGAAGGTGAGGCAGGTGGATCATTTGAGATCAGGAGTTAGAAACGAACTGACAGACACAGTGAAATTCTGCCTTATTAAAAAGAAAACATATATGGCCGGGTTCATGCCAGTAATCCCAGCACTTTGGGAGGCTGAGGCAGGCAGATCACCTGAGGTCAGGGGTTCAAGACCAAACTGACTAAACATGGAGAAATTAGCCAGGTGTGGTGGCACATGCTTGTAATCCCAGCTACTCAGGAGGCTGACGCAGGAAAATCGCTCGAACCTGGGAGGCGGAGGTTGCAGTGAGTGGAGATTCCGTCACTGCACTCCAGCCTAGGCAACAAGAGCAAAAATTCCATCTCAAAAAAAGTAAAAGAAAAAATACAAAAAAAAATTAGCCAGGCATAGTGGCATACACCAGTAGTCCCAGCTACTTGGGAGGCTCAGGCAGGAGAATCACTTGAATCCCGAGGCTGAGGTTGTAGTGAGCTGAAATCACACCATTGCACTCCAGCCTGAGGGACAGAGATCCAACCCGCCCTCACAAACAAACAAACAAACAAACAAACAAAAAAACTGGGCTGGGTGTGGTGGCTCATGCCTGTAATTCAAGCACTTTGGAGGCCAAGGGGGGCGGATCACCTGAGGTCGGGAGTTCAAGACCAGCCTGACCAACATGGTGAAACCTCGTCTTTAAAAAAAAGAAAAGAAACCAGCCTGGCCAACATGGTGAAACCCTGTTTCGATTAAAAAATAAAAATAAAAATATTTGTTTTAATGAAAGGAACTGTTGTCTTATTCCTTCCAAAAGGCAAATTGTAGAAGCAACTTAGTTTTGAAAGCTAAACCGTAGGAATATTTTAAATACTATACTCATTAAAATGCAACATTAGATATATTTACTGGGCTCCAAGAGCAAGAGGGCAAAATTATTCCCTAAAATACATTTTGCCAAGTTGCCCAAGGTGGAAACATTGACAATATTCCTTCCCTTACCTCCCACCAATTCTGATTGATTCTAACTCTGAAAAGTCTGTTAAATCATTTCCTAGTCACTATTACCAATGCCAAAGCCCTGCCTAAAGATTTCAATGTCTTTCACCCAGACTACTGTTTAGTTTCCTAGCTGGACTCACTGCCTCTGGTCTATTCTTACTCAAATCATTCCCTACTCCAATCTAGCACCAATTATGACAACCAAAATGTCTCCACCATTGCCAAATATCTCCTGGAGGTCAAAGTGGCCCTGACTGAAAACCACTGCTTCAAGCTGATCCTACAAGAATATCACTTATTTGGTAAGATTCTGGCCACGATCTATGTCAGTGACACAGAAACCAAAAAAACTAACCAACATAAGGTTGAAATTTAAAACCTTAACCTTCGGACTGCCATGCTTAAACAAAATTAGCTGACGCCTCATAAAAAGAGCCGTAATACTCTTAAACTCCTTTGAACGTATAGATTTAAAACATCTAACTTTAAACCTCAATTTTGAGAAGTCTGTACCTACTGTCAAAGTTTAACCACACTATATACATATTTAAGCTTCTGGATATTAGAAAATTATGCCAATTTTTAAAAAGGACTTTGTGCTTTAATCAATCCCCCTCACAGGCTGAAACTAGGAAACTTCTTAGGCAAATTCCTGCCTACATTTAGGTTTGCAAGCCACTCTGAACAGTATTCTCATTAAATATCTCCAGAAAAAAACGAAAAACACACAAATTCTTATGCTTGAAAACCAGTACTTTTTTCTTTTAAATCACACTCTTTTAAAATTTCTCACAATGGTTATGTCACTAGAAAACTTACTCAAAGACGTAGTAGTGATACAATACCTTTCTGAGGAGGTAAGACATCTAAAAAACTTGGAACTCTAAAGGCCAGACCGAGCAGAGTAGCCATATCACAGGAAAAAGCACCTGCTACCAAGACATCCAGAGAGCGAACAATCCGTCCAGACGCTTACCTTCAGGCGTTTGATCATCTCGTCCGTGGTGATCTTGTCGGTGATCTCTTTTACACCCGGAGGGTAAGCGATCTTCCCGTCGGCACTCACGACGCCACAGAGGGCAGTGGCAGGCTTGGGCTGCGCGGTGAAGTCCATCCTGGGGGACAACTTTTCGTTCACAGTCCTCTACCGGCCTCTATCGGTCAGAAAACCAAAGTTCAGCGGGAAAGGGGCGACTTTCTAACCTCTTTTTTCATTTCAAATCTCTCTAATCTGGAAAAGGCTCTTTCTCCCCGGAGGCCGGGGACCCGGCAGCGGCCCCACCACCCGCTTTTTCCCGGGGCTCGGACCCCGCCAGCGCCGGCCCAGCCAGCCCGGGGCTCACTGGGCTTCCCGGTACCAGCCGCCGCGGCCGCGGGAGACAGCGAACAGCGCCAGGAGTTTACCTTTCCCCCTTTCACAATGAAATCCACCCCCGAGCACCAAGGTCCGAAGTTTGGCGGCCTCAGGAGGTTGATAAGGACCCCAAGGCCCCCACTTGGCTGGAGGGAAGCGCCGAGTCCCGCCCGACTAGTCCTCTCCAGGAAAGCAGACGCGAGGCCTATAGGGCTCGGCTTAGGCCGCAAAACTAGGGACCGAGCGGACCCACGCGCAGTGGCGGCTCCCGGGAACAAAACGCCCTTGCCCAGCCGAGCCTCGGACTCCGGGCAGTCCCCGCCGCGCTGCCGCCCCTCCTCGGTTCCGCTCCCTCACCCCCGCGGGAGGGGAAAACAAGCCGCCCTCCACCCCCAGCCCCACGCCAGGAAGCGGCTGACGCGGCTCCGCACTTCACATTTTGTTCCTTCAACTTCGGCTGAGGGACCCCAACGGCTTCTCTGGCTCCCTGCCGCTTGGCGCCGCCGGCACCGCCGAGGCCTTCCCCGCACCCCCGGGCGGCCCCACCGGGCCTCGGACCCACGGCCCCCCCTCTGTCTCTCCTTCCGTCCCCTCCCTCCAGCAGCCGAGGGCGGGAGCCGAGCCGCCGCCGCCGCCTTTACCTCCTCCTCATGCGGGCGGAAGGTGCATCGAGCGCCCGGGCCTCTGTCAGGTGGTTGCGCCGCCGCCCCTCGTCGGGTTGCACACAAAGCGGCTCCGCGGGTCCCGCCGCCGCCACCCGCCCGCCCGGGAGCGGCGCTGGGGCTGGCGGTGCCGAGGAGCAGCCGCCGCGGGGGGAGACGCGGGGCGAGTGAGCGCTGGGCGGGGAGACAGTGCCGCTCTCCGTCTGGCCGAGGAAGAGCAGCCTCCGAGAAGGCTCCTCCGGGAGCCTGTGTGCGTGTGTCCGCTCGGGACCCCCGCAGCCCGCCCGCCCGCACCTCGCGCCGGCCCGGGTAGCCGACTCGGACCCGGACGCCCCTCGCAGTGGCGCGCGCCCGGCAGTCCGTGCCCCGGGAGCCGGCGCCTCGCGCACACACCGGCCGGTCACGCGAGTGGCGCGAGAGCACGCGAGAGCAGTGCGCGCTCCTCGCTCCCTCCCCTTCCTCCGCCGGCCGTGCATCCGCCTCCCTCGGGCCCGAAGCGGCCGCGCGCAGGGCGGACAGCGCCGCCACCCGGTTGGCGCCAAGACCTGCCGCGCTGGGCGCCTCGGGGAGGACCCGACCCGACAGGGCCTGGAGAGGAGGAGCCCGGGTGGCGGGAAGCGAACCCAGGTTCCCGCGGCCCCGCGACCCTGCGAGGGCACGCAGGGCAAACAGCGCTTTATCTTCCGCCGCGGGGATGAGCTGGTGACTTTTGGGGGTCATCATGAGGGACGTAGACGGAACTGGTTGGAAGATGGTTAATTGCTTGGTGAAAATGAAATGATTTCCGCCCCAGGGAGAGATCTGCAAAGTAAAGGAAAGTTGTGCAACCCGGCACTGCGTGAGCGGCTCACTCTCGGGTATTCTGACAGTCTTTCGAGTTACCCACCCTCCTTCGATTTCTGAAGTTAGCATTTTGAAAGCTGCAAAACATGAAAATAGCATTGCTTCGAGTCGTTCTCAAGGTATGTCTTTGGGCCACCAGGCCTCACAATCACTTTGGGTACTGGCTGAAAACGTACGTCTCCAACTTCAAACATTAAAAAAAAAAAAAAAGGATCTCTGAGAGTGGAACGCAGAAATAAGCATTTACTAATTAGGTGGGTGCTTCTCAATAAGAAAGAACTCATTTTTTTTTTTTAGTGTTTTAAACTTACCAAGCATTAACGTTTTCTGGCATCCAAAGGAAAACAACTATCAGTTAAAAACAGTGCACACAGCAGTGTTTAAGCAATTTAATGTATATAATTGAAACAAACGCAAGAACATACAATTATTTTTTTTAAAAATTAAAAGGATACACAAAATTTCCGAAAAGGATACAATAATATGAAACTGACCACTACCATAGTTTAAAATGATATTTGACTGTTTATTCAAATTATTCTTGATGGATACCCATTGGTCTATTTTTTCTTTTTCTTTTTTTTTCCAGGAACATGTGCACTTTATTGAACACAACTGTGGAAAAGTGTGTGAGGTTAAAAGGCTGATACAGGGTCGGCTGGGGGCAGGGCGAGGAATGGAAGCTGGAGTACATGGGAGACAGGTCACCGGCAGAGCCCCTGGCCGGGATGATTCCTCTGATCTGATAGGCTTGCAGAATCAGTATTGGGATGATGATCAGCAGAATGGTCGTGATGATACCCAAAATCAGGGCCCAGATGTTCAGGCACTTGGCGGTGGAGGAGTAGGCCTGGGCCCCGGTCAGGTCGCCAACCATCTTCCTGTCCCTAGACTTCACGGAGTAGGCGAACGCTATGAAGCCCAGGCAGCAGGAGTTCATGAAGAGGGTGTTGAACAGGGACCAGACGACGTGGTCGGGCACAGAGGTCTCGCTTCGGATGTGGATCACGGTGGATGTTGGGGGCGCGGGGTTGTGGGGCGCCCCCAGCGCAGCCACCTCATGTTCCTCCTTCAGCATCTCATAGTTCCGGGGACGGCTGGTGCTGGCGGGTGTGAAGAAGGTTTGGACCGTGTGGTTCATGGTGTCCAGGGAAGACTGGCCGTGGTTGGGTTGCTGGGATGCTTCTCCTGGTCTATTTTTTTCTTACATCTTTTAAGTCAGTTTAAAAATAGTAAAGGTAGTGGCGCGTGCCTGTAATCCCAGCTACTGGGGAGGCTGAGGCAGGAGAATTGCCTGAACCCAGGAGGCGGAGGTTGCGGTGAGCCGAGATCGCGCCATTGCACTCCAGCCTGGGTAACAAGAGCGAAACTCCGTCTCAAAAAAAAAAAAAAAAAATAGTAAAGGTACTGCAGCTCACTGACTTGTTTTTGAGGTATTACACGAGGGAGCAGTCATTGAGAATCTGACACTCCACGGTTTCTGATTTGCTAGAACTTTGCCAAAAAGTCAGTGCTTTGTTCTTGGGCATTTACAGTACCAGGCAGAATCCATTTTAAATTGTCCTCTTCCAAACTGTTAGGTGGACCAAAAAGTAGCTCTCTTTTTAGTCTCTCCCTATCAATTTTGATGTTTCTTATGTGTTGTGTTTAAATAACTAAAAAGCAATGATTTTATTTTTCATTCTCTGCAATAGCTTGCTTATTATTAAATGGAGTTTTGTATATCATAGATTTTATTATTTATTTTTTACGTTACTTTATTATTTGTTGAGATGAAGTCTCACTGTCACCAAGGCTGGAGTGCGGTGCTGTGATCTCGGTTCACTACAGCTTTGGCATTGCAGGCTCAAGCAATTCTTGTGCCTCAGCCTCCCAAGTAGCTGGGACTACAGGTGTGCCACCATACCCGGCTTTTTTTTTTTTTTTTTTTTTTTTGAGACAGAGTCTCCTTCTGTCGCCCAGGCTGGAGTGTGGTGGCATGATCTTGGCTCACTACAACCACTGCCTTCCGGGTTCAAGCAATTCTCCCGCCTCAGCCTCCCGAGTAGCTGGGATTATAGGCACCCGCGACTATGTCTGGCTAATTTTTTAATTTTTTTTTTTAATAGAGTCAGGGTATCACCATTTTGGTCAGGCTGATCTCAAACTCCTGACCTAATGTGATCCGCCCATCGTGGCCTCCCAAAGTGCTGGGATTATAGGCATGAGCCACCACGCCTGGCCTAATTTTTGTGTTTTTAGTAGAGACAGGGTTTCGCCATGTTGGCCAGGCTGATCTTGAACTCCTGACCTCAGGTGATTCACCCACCTCAGCCTCCCAAAGTGCTGGAATTACAGGCATGAGTCACTGCACCGGGCCTCCACCTAGCTTTTGTTTTTGTTTTTTAATAAAGGCGGGGTTTCACCATGTTGGTCAGGCTGGTCTTGAACTCCCGACCTCAGGTGATCCGCCCGCCTTGGCCTCCAAAGTGCTTGGATTACAGGCGTGAGCTACCATGCCTGGCCACCACCTAGCTTTCTTCCTCTCTCAGTGCCAGAAACAATGCCTTATACTGTAGGCTTCTTTAAATAATTGTTTCACAAATGAAGGCATGCCCTCTTGGTGGACCTTAATTTGTTTGAGGAGAGATAGATCAAAATAACAATAATAGATGTATATGAAAATAAAGTAGGGAAGAGAGGCCTCACATCTGTAATCTCAGCACTTTGGGAGGGGGAGGTGAACAGATCATTTGAGGTCAGGAGTTCCAAAACAGCCTGGCTAACATGGTGAAACCCCATCTCTACTAAAAGTACAAAAAATTAGACCAGGCATGGTGGCTCATTCCTGTAATCCCAGCACTTTAAGAGGCCGAGGTAGATCACCTGAGGTCAGGAGTTTGAGACCAGCCTGACCAACAGGGTGAAAACCCGTCTCTACCAAAAATACAAAAATTAGCTGGGTGCACTGGTGCATGCCTGTAATCCCAGCTACTCGGGAGGCTGAGGCAGGAGAATTGCTTGAACCCAGGAGGCAGAGGTTGCGGTGAGCCGAGATCGTGCCATTGCACTCCAGTCTGCATAACAAGAGCGAAACTCCGTCTAAAAAAAAAAAAAAAAAAGAATCATTCTAGCTGCTAGCTTGAAAATAGCCGTAGATATGCAAATGTGGAAGAAAGGTACCCAGGTATAAGACAACTATTAAAATCCCAAGAAGAAATGGTAACAAGAACCATTTCTTAGGATAATAGCTAATAGAGGTCATGGCAGTAGAAGTGGTGAAAAGTAACAGAAGAAAAAAGAAGAAACAAGAAATCAGGGGTGACTGAAAGTTTTGGGCCTGAGTAACTAGAACCTCTATCCAAGATAGTGAGCCCTGTGTGTGGATCAGATTTAGGGGCTAAAAGAAAGACATCCATGCTATCATACAAGTTAATTAAACAGTCACTGAGCTCCTATAGTGAGTAAGACATTGAACTAGAGAATAAGAGAATATGTAAAAAGGCCAGGCACAGTGGCTCACACCTGTGATCCCAGCACTTTGGGAGGCCGAGGCAGGCAGATCATGAGGTCAGGAATTCGAGATCAGCCTGATCAACACGGTGAATGGTGAAACCCCTCATCTACTGAAATTACAAAAATTAGCCAGGTGTGGTGGTGCACACCTGTAATCCCAGCTACTCAGGAGACTGAGGAAAGAGAATCGCTTGAACCCAGTAGGCAGAGGTTGCAGTGAGCCAAGATTGCACCATTGCCCTCCAGCCTAGGCGACAGAGACTCCATGTCAAAAAAAAGAGAGAAAAGAATGGAAGTAAATAATGAATAACAGGTTGTGCAAAATTTAAAAGACTAAAGTCAAGGAAGTTATTTCATTTTGTTTTATGTTGTTTTTTTGAGACAGTATTTCCCTCTCACCCAGGCTGGAGTGCAGTGTCGTGATCTGGGCTCACCACAGGTTGGACCTCCAGGACTCAAGCAGTCCTCCCACATCAGCCTTTGGAATAGCTGGCACTACAGGCACTCACCTGGATACCTGGCTTATTTTTCTACTTTTTGTAGAGGCAGGGTCTCACTATGTAGCCCAGGC